CTGTTATCAATATTAATACAGATTTATTAAATTTAAGCAATTGGGCTAGCAAATTTGGCGTTCTAGTGAATCCTAACAAATGCCAAGCAATTTTAATAGGAAGTGCTCGTCAGTTATCTAAACTTGATATTTGTTCTGTCGCTCCTGTCATGTTTGATGGATCATGCATCCCTTATTCCAGCACTGTGAAAAACCTAGGCCTCTGTATGGACTCAACTCTCAATTGGTCCACTCACATTCAAACAATAAGTGCTTCAGTTACTGCTAAGTTGGGTGCCCTAAATCGCCTTAGAAACTTCCTTCCGGTCAAGGTAAAGATAACTCTGGTGCAGTCTCTTATTTTGCCCATTATTGATTATGCTGATGTGTGTTGTACTGATCTTAATGAGAACCTTCTAGACAAGCTGGATCGTCTCGTAAACAACTGTGTCCGATTCATCTTCTGTCTTCGCAAGTTTGACCATGTTTCCTCCTTTAGATTTCAGCTAAATTGGCTTCCCATTCGCCAACGGAGGCAAGTCAGGACACTTCTCACACTTTTTTCTGTTTTATTCGACAATCGTTGTCCCGACTATTTGAAACGTAAGTTTCAATTTCTATCTGATACGCATAATAGACCTCTACGTTCTTCGGAGACTCTTACGCTCTCCATTCCACTTCACCGTTCCGGTTTCTCTTCTTCCTCGTTTGCTGTACGAGCTGCGCGACTTTGGAATGCACTGCCTGAAACTTTGAGAAAACGCTCCAACAAAGTAACATTTAAAAAGTATGTTAAAGAACATTTTCTGAAAGTCGTAAAGAACTCCTAAGTTGGCGTCATCATCTGAGTTAATCTGTGTTAATAGTTAATTTCATCATAATATGTTTTTTACGTATATATGTATATTTGTGTGTATATATGTATTTATATGTGAATTTGTGTATATATATATGTGTGTATGTGGTTTGTATATATATATATATATATATATGTATATGTATGTATGGTATTTGTATTTTTTATTTTTATGTTTATATGCTATAATTCCTAAATTCATTATATTTCTTATTCTGTACTGTTATGTATTATAATAACCGCCTTCGATGTTTTTCCACTCCTCAAGGTTGACAGGCAGAGAATGCTTTTTGCATTATGTCCGCCTTTTGTACTTATATATTTTATAAGGTTCAAAAAAGTTAAATAAATAAATAAATAAAATACCGACGCCGTCCGCCACCAGATGCCACCACGCTCACCGTCGACAACAAAGGGCGCTGATGCGCCATTTTGCACCCGCGAAGGAGGGTACTCCTGCCCGTGCCGGCCACCACAATCAGTACACTGAAGCAGAGGGAACAAATAGAAGGCAACGATGACATTCACAGAGCATCATTGCCGACAGCCCGGGAAGACGCCCGTGCTGAAGAGCCACCGAGGGGCCACACCGATCGCAGTACGAAGTCAAAGAAGACTATTCGGCCCAATAGAAAAATTTTGAAGGTACGTGAAGAAGTATTGACTATCAAACTGGAACTCGCACAGATCTCCTTACAGATGGCTGAAGAAGAAGAAGAATCAGACGACTATGATGAAGATGGTCACTCCAAAAGTGAGTACGTCCGATCTTGGCTCGAAAATTCCGTAGCCAAACAAAAGCCAACTCAAGGCACAACCACCGGAGGGGAGGCCCCATGTAATAAAACCGTCACAAAGCCACCCCCAGAGGTTGTCGACCTCAGTGAACCACAGAAGAAGCTCACAAACCAGGATCCCTATCCAGAAGATGTCCCCAAGGATCCCATGCCACAAAAGCTTAGCCAGGACTCCACAGTTAATGAAGACAGGGGGCTCCTACCAGTTGTATCAGAGCTCACATACCAGGATCCCTATCCAGAAAATGTACCCAAGGATCCCATGCCAAAGAAGCCTAACCAGGAACTTGTCATTAATGAAGACAGGGGGCTCCGACCATTTATATCGGAGCTCACATCCGCTATAGCCCCACTCGGTGACAAACCAAAATCAGAGAGTGCATCACTATCGTCGCATACTTTCGCAGCGTCGAAAGCTATACATAATGACACTGCCAAGCTTTAGCGGAGCACATACAGAGTGGCTTTCATTCCGTGCCATTTACGAAACAACCCGAGGTTACTTCAATGATATTGAAAACACTGCGAGACTAAGAAGAAGTCTACAAGGAAGAGCCTTGGAAACAGTCAGCTCAGAACTCATCGGGCATGCTAATTCAGATAATTATGCGAGAACTGGGGCTACAATTTGGGCGTCCAGATTCAGTCGCGCAAGCAGAAACCGAGAAGTTACGAGGATTAGCACGCTGTACAGAAGCACCTAGAGACATCTGCACATTCGCGAGCAAAGTGAGGGGAAGCGTCGTCACTCTTTGAGCACTCAAACGAGACCATTACCTCGTCAACGCAGAGCTCCTACGAGACCTCACCGACAAGCTGCCAAACTCTATACGAGCCCAGTGGTATAGAATCTACACCGAAAAATACGACCCTAGTCCAGAGCTCGGTTCCTTGAGCGAGTTTATCACCGAACAAGCTCGCTACTGCAGTGCATTTGCGCCGCCTGAAATTATAAATGGAGCGCAAAGCAAGCGTCCAGTACATAGGACACACGCGGCTACTTCTAAGCCATCTCCGAAAGTATGCCAAAAGGAAGGTCACTACGGATCCGACTGTAACAAATTTAAAGAAGCGGATACCGACATAAAATGGGAACTCGCAAAGCAAAGTAATTTATGTTTCCGGTGTTTGCGCTACAAAAATCAAACACACAAATGTGGACTTTTGTTCCACACTAAGTGTGGAATAAAAGGATGCACCGCGACACACAATCGACTTCTCCACTATAACAAAAAAGAGAAGACAGAGGTGATACAAAAAGAACCTCAAGAAAGCTAACTCATTCGCTGTGTCAAAGCATCAAGCCTATCTAAAAATAATTCCGGTTCGAGTAATTGGAACGGCGGGAGTTGTAAACACACACGCCCTGCTGGATGATGGGTCAACAGTCTCTATAATGAATGAAGATATTGCCAAACAAATTGGAGCTACAGGGCGGTTGGAACCATTTAAGATTTTTACACGTACGTAAGTGCGAGCGAGCGGACGTGTGATCGGTTGAACGTAATTAATAGCGCAAAAAGTGTATTTCTCAAATAAATGGGTACTAAATGTAACGGCTGCGATGCCGTAATATACGACATTACGTACATGAAATGTGCAAGAGAGGAATGCAAAAAATTGTACCATCTTAAGTGTTTGGCTCTGACGAAGGATAAATATGAAGCATTTACCGAAGAATACAAGTGCAATTGGAGATGCCCGGAATGTATTTGCAGTGCGCCGAAGAGGGATAATTCGGGCACACCAGTTCGGAGTAACCACAATAAAATGAATAAAGTGTTTACTCCTTGCTATGTAAACACAGACCGAGGCAATAGGATGATTTCAAAAGAAGTGATAGAAGTGGATATCAGTGGTAAAATACTGCAAGAATTGCAAGAATTTCGGTTTGAGATGAACCTTAAAATGGATGAGCAAATAAAGGAGTACAATTTGCTCAAGAACAGATTTGTCGACACCGAAAAAGAACTACATAAATTGCGAGATACTATGAAGGTAGTGCAGCAAAAGACGAGCAAAGTCGATGAATTAGAAGCGCAAATAAAAACATTGGTGCAAAAAAATGAGCAATTACAAAATTGTCTGAACGAAAATCAGCCTAGAAAAGAAATAAATGATACGGCGAAAGAAATCAGGAAGGAGACTATGTAATTTTCAAATGTACTCACACAAAACAAAAGTAATATAAAAGTAATAAGCAGGTAATAAGTAAAAATCAGTCTGTGAACAAAGATAAGAGTGTAGTGGCGTGTGTGGCCGCGTAACCAGCGTGTGTTATAGAAACCTCTACGGATTGTTTTGATAAAGAACAATTAGCGACAGATACTACAGAACTTCGGATGGAAACTAGCAAAAAGGAAGGATCATGGATTACTGTACAGAAAAACAAAAATAAATATCCTGGAAAGCAACTCATAATAGGAGGAAATACTAGTATAGGAAATATTCAAGGTACTGAAAGGAAAAAGTTTTTAAATGTTTGGCGCCTAAAAAAGGATACCACACTAGAAAGTTTAGAAGGACATGTAAAGAGGTTATGTGGAAAAGAGACGGAAATAACAGTGGACAAAATTAAACATAAAACGGAAAGAGACTATGCGTCATTTATAATAGGAGTTCCAGAAAGTTCATATGAGATACTATGTAAACCAGAAAGTTGGGCAGTTAACATTGAATTCTGTGAATGGTAAACCACCCAATAAGTAATAAGAAATCACTCAAGTCTGTGGAGATATACTATCAGAATGAATTGAGAACAAAATTACACGAATTTTATGTGGGAATTTCTTCCTGTACTTATGATTTTTTTGCAATAACGGAAACAGGATGCAATAATTCTATCTGTGATTCAGAACTCATCCCACCTGGATACAAGATACTTCGGTGTGATCATGAAGACGGGCACAAGCAAGGTGGCGCGTGCTTAGGGGCCACACCGCGGTACGAGCTTCGGCAACTAAATACACCGAACGATGTACGTATTCAAGACCAGGCATTTGAACTGGTTAGCGCTGCGGTTTATTTACAAAATAAGTTCATGTTTGTGTTGTGTGTAGTATACATTCCACCGAGTTGTAGTGATAATGAATACATGTTGTTATTTAGTATAATCGAAAATTATCATGACGATTATAATGACCTAATAGTGATAGGCGATTTTAATTTATACTCGAGCTCAACAAATATACGTAATTACTTTGAGTACTTTAGCACATATTGTGAATTCACCCAGTACAACAAAATAGGAAATTGAAACGAACGCCAACTAGATCTTGTTTTGAGTACGCGTTCAGTGGGGGACGGGTTGGAGGTGCGCGCGGCTGAGCCTATAGTACCACCTGTCCCACATCATCCGCCACTCGCTACTGTTCTGCCACAGCGGGGGCGAGCGCGCCACGGTGGGCTGCCCGCGCCTACGTCGAGGGGAGTACTCACACACACACAGGATGGAACTTTTACAAAGCAAACTTTTCTTTAATGTATTCTTTAATAGCGGCTATAGACTGGACGCCAATGTATAGGTTAGATGTAAATACACTCAGCGTCACAAAAATCGCACCTCTCTGAGTTTGCGCGAAAAATGGCTGTAATGGCTAGAAACTAATTATATTTATATAAATATTGGTATGTATTGAAATGGGTATTTGAATAGCTTTACATTATTAATAAAAAAATCATGAAATCATTAAAATATTTATCATTATAGAGCGTCAAAAATAAACACTGTCAAATGCTTGTTAGTAAGGACGCTAGTTACACCACCTAAAAAGGGTATAAAAGGGTCGATCTGGATGAAATATGGGTCAGTCGTAATTTAGACTTTGCAGTGAACACACGTGAACAAGTAACCCAAGTAAGAACAAGTAAAGATGGACACCAGCTCTGAAGAAGCCGCTCAAGTGATTGCCCTATTGCAGTCGGGGATGCGGTAGTGTGACGTTGCTCGACAGTTGAACCTGTCCCGTTTTTCAGTTCGACGGGTGTTCCAACGTTTTCAGCAGACTGGTGGTTATGTTAGAAAATCGGGATTTGGAAGAAAACGGTGCATATCAGAAAGAGATGACCGATTCATCGTTACGACATCTTTACGAAACCGTTTTACAAATGCTGTTGAGTTGCAACAACAGTTTCGATCAACTCGGAGAACATCTGTGAGTGTTTCTACGATAAGAAGAAGGTTACACGAAAAGAGTTTAACAGCCCATAGACCTGCTAAAGGTCCAAAACTTACTGCACAGCATCGCAGAGATCGCCTAGAGTTTGCTCGCAATCATTGCGAGTGGACTCTAGAACAGTGGCGGACCGTACTCTTCTCTGATGAGACGAGGATCTGTCTCTTCTGCAATGACAGACGTAGAAGGGTCTACAGAAGACAGAGGGAGAGGTTCACACAACCCTGCTTCGAAGAATCCGTCGAATACGGGGGTGGCTCGTGTATGTTTTGGGGCGGCATTTCCGTCGACGGGAAAACGGAACTTGTATGCGTTTCCCGGACTCGGGGTGGCCGTGGGCAAGGGTCATTAAATGCTGGTCGGTACATTACTGAAATCCTGGAGGAACATGTGGTCCCGTATGCTGGTTATGTCGGTGATGGATTCATGTTAATGCATGATAATGCTCGTTGCCACACCGCGGCTATTGTACGGGATTATTTACAGGAGGTCGATATCCCTGTTATGCATTGGCCAGCACGAAGTCCAGACCTTAACCCAATAGAACATCTCTGGGATGACCTAAAACGGCGCGTGCGAGCTCGAGATTCAGCTCCAACCACTCTTCAAGAGCTCCAAGATGCGGTACTTGAAGGGTGGGAACAAATACCCCAAGAGGCTGTTGCGACCCTTGTAAGGTCCATGAAAGAACGCATGGAAGCCGTTATGAAGGCAAGGGGGGGTAACACTAGGTTTTAAGAACTTTTTTGTATTTATTAAGTTTTTTTTAAAATTATTAATTTGCAAATTACGAGTACCTTGTCTTTTTCTTTAATTTCTCTTTCGTCTCGTTATAAAAGTAAAATTCAATTAAAATTCCTAAAAGCTAATGAAATTACCTTTCGAATGATACCCTCAAACCACAACATTGCCATTGGCCTGTTGTGTTACGGAATACACCTTTTCACTCGCGTCACAGAAAATGTGTAACTCCCCTTCTCCAAATGGCGTGGCAGGTATGTACCAATCTATTTCTAACTTTTTTAACAGCTGTAAGTTATTTATAAGTGATAACCATGTCACGTGATGCTCGGTTGTGATGGGGTCGTCCCAATATATCCCACTACGCCATATATCCTGTATAAGACATTTGCCTATCATCGTGATAGGCGAAAATAAACCTAGCGGGTCAAATACCGACATTACTGCGCTGGTTATCTCACACTTGGTAGGTAGTGTGTCACCTCTAATTACACTCGTGGGTGTGTTTCTAAGATTGACATTGAAGCCTAACGTGTCACGTTTGTGATTCCAAATAAAACCTAATGTCCTCTCTGAATCACTTTTACCTAGCGTGGTTGTGTCGCTTCTACGCGTATCAGTGACGTCGCTGATTACTTCAGGCACGTTTGATGCCCACCCGCGTAACTCGAAGGATGCGTTTCTATGTACTTAGCACATATCATTTACTATTGACTTTGCCTCGCTTTCGGAGTTGAACGCGCCTAAGTAGTCGTCCATATGAAAGTTACGCCTTCGTGACTTCGGGATGTTGATGACTGTGATTTTCTGCGTTTTTATTTTTTACATAGATAGCCGTGCATGGTGATGATGCCGCCCCGAATATTAACGATGTCATCCGATACTCTTGCGGCGGCCCCTCTCTATTCTCGCCCCTCCATTAAAATAGTAAGCTATTACGGTCCTCTTGTATAATTTTTACTTGTAAAAACATTTCTTTTATGTCGGCTACGACAGCAATACGACCCTCTCTAAATCTAATTAATACGCCGAATAACGACTATAGTACGTCAGGGCCTGTTAATAACGCGTCGTTTAGGCTTTTCCCCCCGCATTTGGCTGCTGCGTCGAACACTAACCTTATTTTGCCCTTCTGAGGGTGTACGACTGCGAAATGCGGCAAGTACCAGCTGCGTGGGACCTGGGTGGGGCGACTACTTTTTCAGCATAGCCTGCTTCTATAAGGTTGTTTACCTGCTTACTATATTCGGTTTTTAGGTTTTCATTTTTATCTAATTTATTTTCTAAGCTATATTGACGACTGAGGGCTTGTTTTTTATTGTTTGGCATCACCTCAGTGTCCGTTCGCCAGAGTAAGCCCGCTTCGTATTGCTATTGTCCGTTTTTTTACAAGTCTTATCTAGAATAGCTAGATAGTTGCACTGTTGCACTAACTCTCTGCTCACCTTTTGTGGGGATAGATTTAAGTTCCCTATTGTGCTCGCACTTATAGTTTCTAAGTTTCTGTTATATTACCGCGAATGGATAATTTCTCGTGACATGATTCTGTGTCGTTTATTTGATTACCCCTTACCCCTTCAAACGTCAAGAGCCGTCCGCGCCCCCTGGGAACAATCGAATCTGCCATGCCCCTTTCGATCAACGTCATAGTTGATCCTTCATCTAACAAGGCGTATGTGCTAGTTGTTCCTATTGAACCGTTTATCTCGACCGGCACTATCTTTAAGTAGGTGTTAGACGCATGTACGTGATTTATTGAGCTTACGTTGCCGTGGTTGATTGGCGGTTTGTTATCGCTACCATGTAACATTTTATGGTGTGACGCTTCACACCCGTTTACCCCGCATGGTACGTATTTGCATTTGACCGGTCGCCTGTGTGACTTGCCAAGGCATCAAAAACACAGCCTGTTGCGCTTGGCCGCGTCCCATCTTTCGCTCACGGCTAATTTAGCAAAGTCTGCACATTTTATGACGTTGTTGGATTAATCAAAGAATAGAATACGTAAACGTGAGAATTCGTAAGCTTATATGAATATTTAAAAAACTGCGTTACATTACAACGCCTAAATTGATAAATCAAATTTACACATCTTTAGCTCAGTCAGTTCTAGGATATTGCATTACGGTATGGGGAGGAGCGGTACAAACTAACTTACTGAACATAGAAAGAGGACAACGATACCTTCTTAAAGTTATGTATTTTAAGCCTATTAGATTTAATACCGAACAACTGTATAATATTAGTGATGTTCTTACGATTAGGCAACTATATATCTTACAGTCAATTTTAAAAACACATACTAACTCGCCATACGATTCAAAAAAAACATCTACATGGGGGAATCATAACGTCATTAAACAAATTTATGTAAAATCTAAATTTGCTGAGACAGTACTGTGCCCAATCAAGATATATGTATAATTACTTAAATAAAAAAAATAACTTTCACCGGCTTATTTATCCCGAATGTAAAAAAATACTTACCGATCATCTTAAAAAATTTTCTCATCACACCACGGAAAACATTCTACGTCACGAAATTAAATAATATATTTGTTTATCAGAATAGAATAGAATTAAATAAAATTACATAAAATAGTAATAATAATAATGCTTACACTTTTAAACACCTACAATCACACGTACACACACACACACACACACACACACACACACACACACAGAGAGAGAGAGAGAGAGAGAGAGAGAGAGACACACACACACACACTCACACTCGCACTCACACTCATACACACACACACACACACACACACACACACACACAAACACACACCTACTCTAAATCATAGGTAATCTTGCTCGGCTTATCTCAATATTTAATGTTATTAGGAAGAGCGGTGCCTCCTGACACAGGTATTTTTTTTATACTTACTAGGAGGCTCCAATTACTTTATTATTTAGTATGCTTTGAGCAAGAAATAAATGAACGTATTTTTAATTTTTTTTTAATTTTCTTTTAATATAATTTTGCTTTCAAGCCAATAAACTCTATTATAATATCACCACCTAATTCATCTTTAAAATACCCTGGTATTTGTTTATTCGCTTTTGGAATATGGTATATATTATTTTCAGAAAAATTACTTGTATCAAAGTACTTAATATTATCTTTCATATCTTTATAGAAGTCTTCAGTGTAAATTAAATACAAAAGACGTATCAGTGTAACAAAGTTTGATATTATTATCTTTGTATATTTTCTTCATTAAAGAATAATTAAAATTATATAAATGACATTTTGCAAGTTCCAAAATAGTAAAGCCCACATATATTGGGCGATCCAAGATCACTTTTGTTGGTCGGAGTTAAATGGCTACGAGGCTATCAGAAACAATTGCAAAATTTTTGAAATTAGGCGCACTAACATATTTTTCGGCACCACAGACTTTACTTGTGATATTAAAATTATCTTTCCATACATTTACTAGCTTAACATCGACTTGTTTTCTTTTGTTCTCTATAGTTTTTTCCAAAAATTGAATTGAATTGTTTTTTAAAAAAAAAGTCTCTTTTAAAATCAGATGTAGCATTTTGTCTTAAAGATGTATTTAGGGAAATATATGGTTCTAAAAATGTTTTTTGATTAAAAGCCAAAATCCTATGAATGTTCTATATAACAAGCCCGTTTCTTAGACATTGTTGTAAATTACGGTAATGGATAACATATTTATATTTATCATAGAGATTCGCAACCAATTTCTTAACCTTACTAATGTTTGATGATATTGGAACCGTTAACTTTTCTGCTGCAAACGGTAAGTCAGAATGTTCATCATGAATATTGCGTGGATATTGCATGTCAACTTCAAGTATATATCATTCATTACTATTAGGACTAATAGAGTTAATATCAAAACTTCTTAATTCTTTTTGTTTTAAAAACCGACAATTTTTATAAGGCAGTTGCTGCATCATAACATAACCATACAAATTTATACAATCTAAATAAACTAAGAAAGAATTTGGATCTTCTTCTTTAAAATTTGGTAAGTATTTGTTATTAGCCTTTGCATACCTTAACGAGCATTGAGATAGACCTCCTCTCATACCGTTTTCTAAAAATTGATAAATTTGTATATCAGTAATTAAATCCAACTCAATACTTGTCAACAATAGCATAGCATCCCAACTTAGTAAAGCTGTAGCAAACCGTATGTATTCGGTACTGAGTGCGCCATCTAGTACCGAGTAACGAAACGCTACAGATGAATGTCTTTCGTTACTCGCATTTTTCGTAGTATGGGTACCTACACTGTTTCAGTTCACGCAAGTACCGATGATACGTGATGCGAGTATTGTAACATTGGCTGACCGTATGTTTTACGCATGCGCACACTTATTCGGTGAATTTAAAAACGTACGTTAAAAAGAGCGATGTTTGTTTATTAGGTACCTAAAGTTTAATTTGGAAATACGTCGTAGTAATTATAAGTTAGAGTTGTTAATTAGAATTTAAATCTATAATACAAATATAAATAAAGATTGAATTACATATTTATATACAAGTTTTTGAGCAGTATTACACTAAACATCAATAATAGATATATGATTGAAAATGAAATTCTGCCAGGACTGTAATGCATATACATCAAATCATTCATCACATAAGAAGAGTAATATACATAAAATTAGTTGTTTACTTAGAACTGAGTTTGATAATGTTCCGTTAATAGCTACTGCTTTCAAGAATAGGATTGCGAGGAATAGGAGGAGGAAGTTATAGAGTAAATCCAGATTCAAGTGACATAATTATGCCAGAGTTATTCTTATCTGGTATTTCCAGCACTGTTTGCAGTATAATTAAAACATTACTAACCACGCACAAATCAATCAAAGTATACTTTGTATTATTTGTGTTGTACAAGCTTCCAAAGAATGATGAAATATCATTCAAAGCTTCCATACTAAATATACGCCTATATCACAAAGTAACTGATTTAAAGTTTCTTTTTGAAGAATACTCGAAAAATTTA